TGTCCCAAAAATAAATAAAAGTTGAAAAAAAATTTTTTTTTAAATAAAAAATAAAAAATAAATGTCATTAACAGATTGCTAATCTTCAGGAGCATGTTCCCATGTCAGTGTTTGAAACCATGATGGAAACCGGCTCAGACACCAGCACCCGGCAAATGTCAATCTGGGTGGACAACAATTGAAGCAAGCTGTCAGTTTTTTGTTGTCTCACATCATCATCCTTTCCTCCCCACCTTACGCCTCTCTTCCACTTGTCCCCTACTTCACCCCAATTTAATGACGTACAGTGGATGAAGTCCAGAATTTCAAATGCTATGCCTTGAGCTTTTTAGACAAGACACTATGTGACACCAATGCAGTAATTAAATGCATCTTTTGCCAACGTAGCACATGAAATGTTTACTCTTGAAATGATGTCATCAAATAATATTTATCAGTGTGTCTCACTTTCACGAGCCATGTAAGGAATTTACATATCTTAATTTAGAAGAGTCACTCGCATACATTTCCTAGAAGCTAGAAACATACAGACCAAGAAGAGGACTTACTTCTGCTCAACATAGAGAGGATCAAAGAATTCCGTTGTGATTTTGTTTGCGTAGAGGGAACAACCGGTCATTGAGCACAACCCTGCAAAGTATCAGAAGGAAAGTACCACGGTTAGTGTCATTTCATTAACATCGTGAAGTACCTCGTTTGGGAGAAAGTTACTATTTACCTGACAGTATGAATACAATTCCAGCCAAACAAGCAATTTTAGCTTTGGCTTTATCTGAGCCTCCGACTTTGGTACACTTCATTCCAAACAGGGCAAATATGGAACCAAAAAAGCCCAGACTGACAGCGGCAATCATAAGTCCTCTACATGCCTGGATATAACCTGCAATTAGAGGTCATCCGTGTTAGCATAAAACACGTGGCTTTCCAGGGAGACATCCTCCTCATTTTGTACCATCCTTCTGAATGAGGGTTCCGTTCTCCAAAAAAAAAATACCCATAGTGGTTAAAACACATAGTAAGAGAAGCCAGAAGGGAAAGCAAGTTAATCTATATGGAGTGCCTGTTCTATGTCACCCACTTTTAGGATTGGCCTATGCATAATCCTCAGGATAGATTCCTTGAGTGTTATTATTCCCACGTTCACGGAGGAGGACACTGAGGCACCAAAGGCTATATATATAGGCTATGTCAGAGATGAATTAGTAAGAGGCTGAAACGGATTCCATCCACTTCTGACGATAAAATCCATGTGATGCTACCCCTCTCTGTAAGAAATACCATCCACCACCATCTCAACCCTCCTACTCCTTTGTACATTGGACCTTTTATTCATTTTTTACTAATGTTTATTTATTTTTGAGAGAGAGAGAGCGAGCAAGCAGGGGGAGGGGCAGAGAAGAGGGAGACGCAGAATCCAAAGTAAGCTCCAGGCTCTGAGCTGTCCACACAGAGCCCCAAACACAGGGCTGTAACTCATGAACCATGAGATCATGACCTGAGTCAAAGTCAGACGCTTAACTGACTGAGCCACCCAGGCGTCCCACATTCGACCTTTTAAATAGATGCTTTAATGGTTTTGACATTATAAAATTTATAATTGGGAAGCAAGGTGTTTCTGATATCAGTGAAAGCTTACAAATGAGACCAACTAGAATATCATCAGGAACCAATGATGAGTCTAAATCAAGAAGTATTTTAATGACATTATTACTTTCAGGGCACATGGAATAAAACTAGGTTTCAAAAAGCAGTGGTTTTTACTAAAAGAATATTTCATAATTATGAAATTCACTGGGTGCATATAAGTGGATGCTTTCTAAGCACCCTAAAACCTTGTTCTATTGGGTTGTCTGATCATCTTTTGGTACCACCCATTTTTTTTAATTAAAAAAAATTTTTTAATGTTTATTTATTTTTCAGAGAGAGAGAGAGAGAGAGAGAGAGCAGGGAAGGGGCAGAGAGAGGGAGACACAGAATCCAAAGCAGGCTCCAGGCTCTGAGCTGTCAGCACAGAGCCTGACGTGGGGCTCAAACTCACCAACCATGAGATCATGACCCAAGTCGAAGTCAGACACTTAACCGACTGAGCCACCCAAGTGCCCCACCACTGATTTTCTTAATCACCTATTCTTATTTGCACAGCCAGGGTGGGGTAAACTTCAACGTGGCTTTTGTCCAGACACTAACAAATTTTAAATCAATAGAATTTAAACCAATACACTTTTAGCACAGAAGGTCATTTTCCTTTCAGCCGGAAACAGTGCCATGTATCAATCTGGAGTAGCGATGGCAGATCCTAGGTATAAGCAGATGTTCGTGGAGCCAATGAACGGGCATGTACATCAAGTTCACGTGTGGGATTATTTTTTTAATTTGAAAAAAAAAACCTCATAAAGACAGCAAGTCACTCATTGTTAGTGTTCAGGTAAAACCCACAATAAATAATAATTCTAAGACTACAGTAATTGTAAATTCAAGAAATAATCCTGGCAGGTAGCCTCCAGCCCACATTCCTTTGGGAAAGAATGAAATTTTAAAGTGTTAATACTATTATTCCTAGGGTCCATTTTGAAGAGTACAAAGAAGATACTCTGTTTAATTGCAACAAAGTTCGGCCTCCACCAATGCAGACTGCAAAGACAACGAACTTCTATTTTATAGTGTGAACAGCCTCCAGGAATAATTCCACTGGAGGTGAGGCTGTCAAAAACAGCAAAACAAGTTTATTTTTAGCACAACAAGATAATGGAGGCTAATTTCAGTAGCAATAATCATACTGTAGGGCTATCTGGGTCTCTGCTGACCCGGGTTTTTTAAAAATTTCAACTCTCAGTCCCCTCGCCAGAAGCCAGGGAGCAGACAGAAGCACAGAGGGGAAGGCTGCTGGTTCCCTATAAGATTAAAGACCATCTACCAAGACAACCACTACTGGGACAGTGTGGTTTCATTTCTTCCTGAGACTTATAGTAATCTATGGTTTTGAGGTATGTTAGCGGATTCTCACTGCAATCCCTACACAAAACAGCATGTGTGTAGACATAGCCTCTGTGATACATGTTTTAAAAAATTAGCCTAGACAAGTTTATCATTTACTCGAGTCATCGTATAGTCTTTATGAACAGGAAATGCAGGAGCCTGGCAAATGGTTAAGGCCTATACTCTGATCATTTAGAACTCAAATGTGTTTTCCCAGATGAAAACAGTGGTATGAACCTCAGGCCGGTGCATGCAGTCCTTAATATGACTTAATATGAAAATAACAGTAGTCTTTAAACTTTATTCAACCATGACTCATAGTATTTTTTTCTGAGGTTCTCACTCTGTTCTCCTGTCTCAGCCCCCGTGCCTGCAGCAGGACTGGTCTCTTGGCATGAATATGAGAGGAGAAATACCGTTTCTGATGTGGTCGGGTCCTTCCCCGCGTGCCAACCAGAACCCTGACTTGGAGGGAAAGGCACCTCTCTCCAGCCTGGAATGGTAGCAGTAACTTGCTAACTACGCTAACATGGCTAACTATGCTAACTTACTGCATGCACAATCATTGCTTAGATTTTCTGAAACAGGGAACAAAGAGCAGACACTGGGGTTCCTGGGGATAAACCGCACCCCCCCCACTGCCAGCTCTAAACGGAATCCAGTTGCTGGTAAGCATGGTTGTGTAAATTAGGGGCCACCAGTCCTTAAAACATCCACAGACTCAGGCTTTAGGTGACTTCCAACAAACTCAGAGTTTATCTTTTGCAAGGCAGACCTCTACAACCTTGCTTTTAACAGTTCCGGAGGGCAAAACTTCTAAGTAACACCAGCAAGTGGAGTGGTAGTAAAAACCTAGTCAAGGAGGCCATTATTTTTGACAGGTTGAATTTACTGACACCTTTAATAGCTAATTAACACATTAAAGTGCTGAGGCATGAACATATTTACTCAGAAGTTCTCTGAAGTATAATTTATAGTTAACTCTCTTGGAAGAAACGGCAAACATTTCCACGAACAAAAATAGATGGCATATACTAAAAACAACCTGGCTGAAAATGATTCTCAGCTGATGTTCAAGTGGTGCTTTGAAAGGAATATGAGCTGGCGATAAACAGAAATCACTAGCTCGTTCAACCGTGAAAGTTCCAATTAGTAAAATACAGTGACTTTACAATAACGAATTCTGTTGGAGGAAACCTTCAAGGCGTCCCTTAAAAGTTAAGCGTTTTCCAAATGATGTGTACCTCATTTTCCATTTCAAACTAGCAAATATGAAAATATCCACTTGGTGGAGACAATTCCCTAGTAGCACATGTGCCCGTTGCTGGATAGAAGGGAGAGAAAAGAATGGCCTTTTCCTACGCTAGTAGCTTTGTGTACTTTTTGCAAATCCTCTGAAAGAAGGGTGGGATCGGAGGAAGGCACAAACTATGAATCTCAGCTCTGGTTCTTCTATTTATCTGCTGTGTGTCCTTGATTACATTACCTTATCTCTCTGAGGCTCAGTTTTCTCATCTGTAAAACAGGGATAAGAGCACTTACTTCACAGGATGAATAATATGAACAGAGTGCCTGGTGATTTGTAAGAATCTCATCAAAGCTTCCCTTCCATCATACTAAGATTAATTCTAAGCAGAACCTGGAGTTGGGATCTTGACATAAAATCAAATCTACACATTTAGCTTTTCTCGGCTTCATTTTCCTTGTAGGGAAAACTGGGGTTGCAATGATGCCCCCCTGAGGATGAGGAATCAGAGCTTTGACTTCGTAAAGAAAATTCAGAATAATGTATCCATCATCTGCGCCCAAGAGGCTCCTTCTCCCACCTCAAGCTAGATGAGAGAGAGCCGTGGGCCTTCTCCCTCCTTTCTGCACTTTCTTTTGAATTTAGAGCTTCTTCCTGGCTTAAGGGGAGGACTGGCTTGCTCAGGCCTGTGGTCACCACAGCCTACAGTAATGAAGCCTTCTCCTGCCACTTCAGAGCAGCATCAGGAAGTCCAATATGCAGTGTGATGTCAGTGGGACCTGCCTCAGAACCAGCACCCAGCAGATGTGGCTGCTCCAGGGACGCAGCAGACAGCTTAGAAGCCGAGAGGCCTGCTCTGGGAAGGTCACCTTGTAGGAGGAGGAATCAACTCTCTAGGTGAAAACGTAGCAGTGTGATTAAATCCCTCAATATGTTATTCTGGGAGACACAGAAGAGTAAGATTTATCACTTTCGGATAGGCAATGCCTTCTTAAGCCACAGAAAGCAGAGGCGGCAAGAAGAAACTGATAAATCTGATCACAGTACACATTTCAAAGTTTTGTGTAAGAAAAGACATCGTAAGTTTAAAAGACAAGCAATGGGCCAAGACTGCAACATAAATAAAAAATCAAGGAGGATTGACACCCAGAATTTTAAAAAACAAATCATTTACATCAAGAGGAAAAAACAGACTGGGCATAAGATATGAACAGGCAATGCATGAAAGAGAAAAAAAGGTCAATAAATACAGGATAAGATGGTAAAAATCATTGGTAAAAACCAGGGAAATACCAATAAAAATGATAGCATGATAATATGTCACCCACAATACTGGATGAAAAACTCTGTGGTGAGAATGTGGACAAACAGGCATTCTCGCTCGTTGGTGGTGGAATGTAATTTGGAGGTATAAACTGAATATTAAAATGAATAATCTGACAGGTACCATTTCTCAGTATCTACTTCACAGAAATATACATGTGCACAGAGAGACGAATATGAAGATTTTCAGTATAGCACTGACAACAGCGAAAAGCTGGAAAGGGTCCATTGCCCAACAGTGAGAAAGCGGCTAAATACAGCAGCCTGTCCAGATGTATGAATACCATGCACTTGTTAGAGTTACTTCTCTATGTACTGACTTGGACAAATACGTT